GCTGTTCATCTTTTCTCTTTTTGGCGACTTGAAGGGAAGGGGTTCACACTAACTTCTATACCAGGTAATTTATGTATATGATAAAGTTTCTTTCCTAGCTAGCTTTTGTCAACATTGTACAAATGAGACATATCTGGGAAGAGGGGATCCTCTTAATTGAGAGGATACACCCATAAGACTGGCCTGTAGGCAAGGCTGTGTAGCATGTTCTGATGAATGGTTGATATGGGAGAGTCCAGGCCATGGTAGACAATGCCCTTTTGAGTTTTTAGTCCTCAGATGTATAAGAAAGCAGGCTAACCAAGTCAGGAACCAGCATCCTCCTATGGTGTCTGCCTTTACTTCTTGCTATGACTTTCCAATGTGAAGGACTTTAAGCTGTAAGACATACCCTTTCTTCCTGAAGTTGCTTTTGATCATGGTGTTTTGTGGCAGCAAAAGAAAAGCAACTAAGACTTCTCATCCCTGACTCCCACTGCAGTCAGTGCTAAGCTTATGTGAGTTTCAGTTTTCACAGCAGCACCTAAGACTCACATGGTAAATGCCATTGTGTTCACTGCTGTGGTGATTCCTTGACTCCTGGGGTTCGGGTTCAGTTCCTCATGAGTTGTGTAGAAGCAAAGGTAATGAGCTGTAGCGATGTCAGGCACCATACCCGAGGGTGGTATTAGTGCTGGTCTGGCAGAATGGTGTGTTTGCTCCTGAAAGGGATTGTTATCAAGTGAGAGCACCCTGATTGCTTGGGCCCCTTTGCAAATGGCCATTTCCTTTCTTTTTCTCTGTATTGTTGTAGTACTACATTACCAGAGGAAGCTCACCACGATGCTGGTACTATACTATTTGAATCTGCCAGCCATGGGAATTGTGAGCCAAATAACCTCTTCACTTTGTCAATCACTCACCTCATGTCTTCTGTCATAGCAATCCACATCAGTTAATGTACACACAAAGCTCATTCATGATGGTACCAGAACAGCACCCACTTCTCCCCAACTCCATAGACAGTTGTTCAGAGATACACCTTTGTTTTCTTAAAAATACAAATAATACTAAAGGTTTTGTGTGCATTGTTATATAGGTAGATGTTACTTTTAGAAGTGTAAAAATTATATACCTTATTTGGCATAATCTTGCAGTATAGCAAGTGAGCAAAACGTTGGCTACTATACAGATTAGTGTATTTCCAGGATGTGCAGGTCTATGGAATTCACGTCTTAGGAGTTTTACACTTTATCTAGATTTTCATCTATTGATGTAAAATCACTAATTACCTATCTGTTTCTTAGATGAAAATGGAGTGAGACTTTCCCCTAAATTATTTTCAAAAGGCATCATGTACTATAATTCTTAGGAAAGTTGCACAAGAAAATCCCAGGGGAAATCATTTATGATATCTAGAACCTTGCTTGATGTCTGTGCACTTGCCAGTTTCCCAGGTCATTGTCAATAGTACTTTAACATTATTACACTGTCCTGCCCTTTCCCTGTATCCACCCATTTCTCCATCAAGAAAGCAACTTAGCCCTGAGGCCTCAGGTGGATCCTGAGAACATAGACAGATAGAGCAAGCTGGTCTTATCTGCTGGTCTAATAAATTCCACCTGTGAACAGCACAAGGCAATGGTGTGGAAGATGCTAATCACATATACAATTGTGAACATACAAATACCACCTTCCTATAGTGTAGAGACTACTATGCCTGGATCAACACAGAGAAACACTGTCAAAAGACCATCAGAGCCAGTGAAAAGAAGATGTCTTTGATCCTAAACTTGAGGATGCATCCTTCAGTTGGGCACATCCTGTGTCATCTATGAACATCAAGTGCCTTGTGCAGGGACTCTGTAAGAGGGTATGGGAATGCGTGAAGAAATGCACGCATCTGAATGAATGCTCTAGAAAGAACTGATCTGTCTGTACTAATAAACTTCAGAGGAAAACAAAATTATCACAATCCCTGTTTCCTCCGAAGCTTGCCTTCATCAGTACTTTCCATTTTAGAACTAAATATTGTATTTAATATTTACATTAAAGCAATCTGGAGCAAGTTGCTTAAGTTTCCAGATTTTTTCCAATCGTCATTACTAGTATCCTCCAGAATGCATGTGTGGGCAATAAACTTCTCAAAGACAAACAGTAGGTTAAACCTAGCAGACAAGCAGAAATTATCTAACCCTGAATTCTTCCAGGAACTGGAACTAACTTTCCCTAGAGGTAAGGCTATGGATGATCACTGGTAGAAAAAAAATGCCAGCCTGTTCTTATCTCAGGGCCTGGTGGAAAAGCACCCAATTCCTCTGCCTCATTACCCACCTGTTATATCAGCTTCTGTGCCCTGACTGTCTAAGATGAACAAAATTCCCAAACTGCCAATACAGAGTGGTTATTGGGAGGATTTGGAAGTTACAGAATAAATATATATTGAATATATTTAGAATTTAATCCATGCCATTGATAGGATGGTGGAAAATAGCTTGAATACAGGAATAGAAGATTTTATTTCACCTATTATATTGAATAATTCTGCACTTTTAAAAACTTGGATAATGCACTTTGGTTTTTAAAGAAGAATTATGCAGAGGTATATAGTTAATAAATAACCAAGGTCTGATAATATAGTACAAGAAGTAGTCATTGGCATGCTGGCTATATTGTAGATTGCTTGATGTTGCTGTAATAAAATATCCAGGGCTAGGATAGGGTCTTTGTAGAAAGGCCTGTGTAGTTCATGATCCTGATAGCAGGAAAGTCTGCCTTGGTGCAGTCCCCTAGCTATAATCACATCATGGAGGAGAGAATGGCCAAGCACATGGTAACCATGCTTTAGTTCAAATTATGATAAAAATATTTGCACATAAAATATAATGTATCTAGAAATGGGAGAAAATAGTAAATGCATTGCTCACTAAGAATAAACTCTATAAAATAATCAAATAAACATCTCTTGGAAAGCAGTGTCTTTAGAAATTCTTAACAAGAATTTCATAGCAATGGGTATAAAATATAACCTGGGTGCATAAATTTGGTATTGCAACACAGAATTGAGGCGATCTTCCATCTGTCGTGCTTTTGAGTTTTCAGTGTACCTAAGCAATTGTTGAAAAATCTCCCTTAATTTTATCTACAGTGGTGTCGGTTAAGATACCAATTTAATGGCCATTATGTTCAACTGTGAAGATGGTTAGGAACACCTTTATGAACATTAGAAATGAGAAGATGAAAGTCCTTAGCATGTACATCCTGTGACATAATAATAGAAGATGAACATAGAGCCACAAATAAGTGTATTGAGTGCATTTGACCACGGATGACCATTCTTTATATGCCACTTTGAAATAGTCACATAATCAACATGAAGACTTTTTTCATTTTAATGTATACATACTATATATTTTTGTTTTGAAACAATATGTTAAAAAATGAAATGAAGTCATTTTATAATCTGGCTAATATAATCAAAATGAGTTAGTTAAAAAGTACAGGGTTTTGATTACTCTGATTCAAAAAAATATGCAAGTCTGAGTCTTATCTGTGGATACCAAATACAGCAAAATGTCAAATTCACTTAAAAACTGGAAGGATGCTGTCACAATCCTTCATTAGTTTGGTGTACTAATTAACACTTTCTTCCTAATCAGAACTTTAAGTTTTGGTTGTTTTGTAGGGGAAAAACTCAAGCAATAAAAATGGGAAGTTTCTTAGGAAATGGAGCCACAAGGAAATCTGAGTCATTTTCCAAGAAATTGTTTTGACCTAAAGTCAATGCTGCTGCAAGGGGGAAGCTCTTTTGCCCTTTTGGGTCAAGCTCTCCAGAGCCTTGAAATGCTCCTTTGTAAACATGAGGCTTATGTAGCAGACAGAGATGGGTTTTGACCATTGTGCCTATTCATAGGCAATTGTGGGTTGCTGAGTATGCATGAGGTCGCCGTAAGCAGCATGTCTGATTTTTAGTACAAACTCCTTAAAAAATGATAGTAAGTGGACAATAAATCAAAATTAAGGTAGGGAGTGAAACTCTCTCACAAAGTTACCATTGCAAGAAGCAGCAGCAACCTCGATGTTTCCTCCTGCAGCAAATGATGGGGTAGTAGCTACTTTCATGAGTGAGTGGATGACACATACCTGCCCTATTGGTGTATTTACCTTCAACCACCATGGGGGGCGCCTGCTTCCTCATTCTATTCATGACTCCATTTAAATGTGGCAGAAACAGAAGATGAAAATGAGTTTATCTCTTTTTTTCTTTCTTTTGCCGCGTAGATAATACCCTAGGAGTATTCTCCTACTGATTGTCTACATGGTGATTTACTAACTCCAAGCCAAGTAACATTCTCAATAAGAAAGTTTTATAAAGACCCCTGTTGTATATAGCAAGTGTAACAGGCTAACTTGATGCAATATTGGGGAAGAGCACAAGCCAAGAAATAGTGTAAAAATACAAGCGAAGCAGTTTCCAGTCCTTGGGCATTTGAGCAATCATTAAATTGTATTTACAGTGTTATAGCTACTTAGCATAGTAAAATATATTGAAGGCAGTTGCCATAGGATAACAGAAGATTTCTGGATGTCTTCAGTGTGTGGCAAACATGATTAAAATGCAACAGTTTGTGTAAGAAGTCATGGTACTCAGAAATGTATTGTGTGTCCTTCCAAAGGGACCTGCTCTTACTGTGGGGCATGTCTGCAGCACTGTCAATGAAGAGGGGTTTGGTGCATGTTAGATATCCTAAGGATGGAAGGGAAACCAGCTGACCATGAGAAAGCGATTGCAGAATTCTATGCAGGGATCTGAAGCCTCTGGCCCCAAGGACCCCGTCTTATCATCTCTGGACCCTAATTCAGTGACTGGGGCTCACAGTGTGAGTAGGAGTAACCAGAAGAGGGAACTGACCTTTGTATCTTGCAGCCCATAAGCATTTTTGGAAAATGTGGCTGTACTCTTGAAATAACTTTTGTTTTTAAGTAGTTAATATAAATCTTGCTTTTTATGTTTCTCACAGGAATCCGAGAAGAAGGGATTAATTGAGAGAATCTACATGGTACAGGATATTGTTTCCACTGTCCAGAACATCTTGGAGGAAGTTGCTTCTTTTGGAGAAAGGATTAAGAAGTAAGTTCTTTCCGTATATAGTGGTGTATAAACTAGCCCTTGCACCACCAGGATGATGGGGGAAGGAGGCTATGGGGTCCTGTGAGTGATGAGGAAAGCAATGGTGGCAGCTCCTCAGATGCGGGGTACTTCAGAACTGGGGTGAAGATGTGACTCAGTTTACACTGGTTGGCTGAGCACAGCTATTTTTCCCAGTTATTGAAAGTGGATTTTTTTCTCACATAGTGTATCCTGATTACAGCTTCCCCTCCTACTTCCTCCACACCACCCCTCCCACCTGGATCAAGAACAGACCTCTGAGTGATAACAACCAAACATGACAGAGTAAAATATAATAAGCTAAAACAAAAACTATCAGGTTGAAGTTGGACAGAATAAATCAACAAAATGTAAAGAGCCCAAGAGAAGACACCAGAACCAGAGACCCACACGTTTTCACACTCAGGAATCCCCCTCCATAAAAAACATTAAACTGAAAACCATAATACATATGAAAGATAGAAGGAAAGAAAGGAAAGGCAGGAATCATTTTCTTCAAATCCAGGATGCATTTTCTGAAATCCAGCCCTAATGTGCTACCCTCTACTTTTTGGTCAAAGGGCTTTGCTTTTTCAATGGAGGCTCAGTTAAAGCTAGGATTCATGTTTTTGGTTATATATTATATAGCATTAGTGTGCATAAGGGCATCTTTATCTGGTATGACATGTGAGTTTTAACTGTTTTTTTAGGTTCATGAATAGATTTTTTCCCTTTCTGATCCAAAATTGTAGTATCTATGCTCTGTAAATCAATGCTTATCTTATGGTCATATCTGTTTGGAAATTGTAGTAGAAATTTCAACTAGTATTAAATACCCAGTGAAAGTTTCTAAATAAAAATGCAGGTAAATCCCTTGTGATATTTAACATCAGGGAGTATATGTGATAAATGTGCATTTTTTATGAATACTGCTTGTTTTCAGTTAGCAGTCCAAGTCACTGTCAGTAAGTATCTTCAATGTAGTAGTTTTTGTTGTTCTTGTTTCTATTATTTCTCTGTAGCTCTGACTGAACTAAAACTTACTCTGTAACTCAGACTAGCCAGACATGACTATGTAGTCTAACTTGGCCTGTTACTCATGGAAGCTCTCCTGACTCAACCTATTGAATGCTGCAATTACAAACATAAGTTATGTACATAGCTTAATGCATGTTCAGTTAAAAAAAACAGTGTTCAGGGGCTAAAGAGAGGGTTCAATGGTTTAGAGCACTTGCAGCTCTTCTAGAGGAGCCAGGTTCAATTTCCAGAAGCCACCTTAGGTAGCTAACAACTGCCTCTAATTCTATCTCTAGGGGATCTGACATGGCTGGTCTCAGTGGACCACACACCTGCACTGCCTTGTACATACCTACAGCCTACATACAAACACACACATGCACATAATTAAGAATAGTAAAATTTGAAAAAGAAACACTTTCAAACACACAGGTTTCTATTAAATTTCCAGTGTATTTTCCATTCCTAATACCTTAAGAGAAAGGAATTAGAGTGTGAGGATCTGTGCTGACATATGCTGACACCTTATCTGCTGTCTTTTCCAAGGTTTCACATGGTGAACAAATCATGCCTTAGATTAGCTTTGCAAATGTTTAACAGAAGCATATGGAATAGTAACATGTAATGAAGAGAGTGGACAATTCTTTATTAGATCATTTTGCTGAGAATGACAGTGTGTACATAGTAGCTGTACAGATAACAGTAGCATCAGCTGGTGTCATGCTGTAAAACCATTGAATGCAGCCATTTATACAGTGAATTTTTTGTAGAATCATCCAATGTTTAAGGGAGTTGTTCCCTGCAGAACATGGTTAGGATCGCTTGTATGACCCAGGATCCTAAAGAGCATGATTAAATATGTAGTCCACGATCACCGTCAATAAACCATAGAGCTTGGATTTGAACCTGCTTCTGTTACTGTCATACAGTGATATTTTCACTCTCCAAGAATCTATTCTTTTCAAGTAAGGGAGAAAAATAGTAACAGTCAAATAGATTTTTATGGCTTTAGTAGATAAAAGTCAGTGGGATACTAGGGGAAGCTTGATGAGCACAGAAGGTGACTTAAAAGAGGAAGCTAGAAGGGAAGACTGAAGAAGCAACTAAGAAATCTCAGGAAGTTGGGGAAGATAGTTTGGCAAATGGTAGATGAAGATGGCAGCAGATGGGCACCCTATGCTTAGACTCAAATCTCAACAGTGTGGAACGGTGGTTTTTAACCTTCCTAATGCTGCAACCCTTAAATGCAGTTCCTCATGTTGGGGTGCGCCCCGTCCTTAAAACTATTTTGTCACTACTTCACAACTGTAATTTTGCTACAGTAAATACCTGTTTTCCAATGGTCTTCTGGGGGATCACAACCCAAAGCGGTTGAGAACCGCTGTTGTAGAAGATACAGGGAGAGGAATGTGGGTTAGGGAGAAAAGTCGTGATGCTTGAAGGCAAGGCACATCACAAAAGGCCTTGAGTAGACAGGAAAAAAAAGTCATGAAAAAAAGAAAACAGAGTGAAGAGTTACTGGAAGCCAGGAGGAAAAGAGGATGTGGAGTTGGGGCAAGCCCGAGGCAGGAAGATGGAGTTTGGTACAACTGTCTCCATTCTTAAACATCTCTAGGACACAAATGTAGCTGTTGTGTAGCTGATAATGCAAAAGGAAATGTGTCTGATGGGCGAAGAGGGCTGAGTGACTTAAGCAGGCTCCCATCTCTACAGAGCTTTTGAAGGGCAGCTGTGCTAGGCACAGCTGTGGTGGCCATGCCCAGAACGTGTTTACAGGCAATGAACAGAGCACTGTTGTGCCCAGCTGCAACACAGGAAGGCTCAATAGGCTCAACTCCTATTAATTCTTCGCCTGTTCATTATTACAGTGACCTTAAAGTCCCTGCTGGGCATTCAAGTGGGATGTCATGTGTCACACTCTTGGAATTCTATTGTAATTCTGTGCTTACAAACCAAGAAAACTTCTCCCAGCTTTTGTCAACAAGGAACATTTTACATGAAACTCTCAGAGCAAGGCTTCCATGCTGCTGTCCTGAGGATTGTCACCAGTGCTGTGTGTGTGTGTGTGTGTGTGTGTGTGTGTGTATCTATATATCTATATATTATTTTATCCTTCCTGCTTTATCTTCTTATCTTCTCTGACTACTTTTTCTAATATGTGCAAATTTCAAATATATATACACAGCATATTGAAAATCTTGGTCCATACTAAACTCTCCTAGAGAGCAGATCAGTTGGTCTAAAGAGCTGAGTATGTTGAATGTCCCCTTTGTGGAATGATGGTTCCAACCACATGCTCTTGAGCATCTAAGCAAAGCTCCAAAGTGTTGGTAAGATAGAGGGACCCTAGGAAGATAGGAATTCATTCCTACAGAGGGTCTAGAGCAGTGGTTCTCAAGTTGCCTAATACTACACTACTTTAATACAGTTTCTCACGTTGTGTGACCCCCAACCATAAAATTATTTTCATTCTGCCTCTTAACTATAATTTAGCTACTCTTAGGAATTGTAATGTAATTATCTGTATTGTCTGATGGTCTTAGGTGACCCCTATGAAGGAGTCATTCAACCCCCAAAGGGGTCGCACCCCATAGGTAGAGACCTACTGATCTAGTATGTATATGACACATATATACATAGGACTGTCCTCACTAGGAAGTAGTGTTGAGAGAGCAAGTTAAATAGTTAAAATCATAGGAAATTCAGCACAATGTCAGTTAAACATTTTGTGTTTACCCTGAGAAAAGCATGCTAAAGGGAACAAAGAAAAAAGGACAAATTCCTAGAAGAGCATTAGCAAGCTAGCATGAGGATGGTGCAATGCTAAGTGAGACCATCTTGCTGAATATGCCATAAAAGAAAAATCTACAGGAACATGTGGCCAGTATTTGTTTCTAAGAGAGAAGGTAGCTGAGGGCTTCATAGGAAGCCATTGAATTTTCCTAAATTCACTGCAACACAGCATGGGGTGGTACAACAGGAGAGACCTGCACCTACCTTACTAGGTAGCATCCTAATCATTTTTGTTAAGTGCCTTGAAATTTACAAAATAGTATCCTCTCATGGTGGTGAACTCATGTTAGGAATGTTAGCTTTTTTTTTTTGTCCTCCATGACAAGAATTTAGAGGGCTCTCAACAAGGAAAACCACTGAAGTCTATGAAAATGTTTCATTAATTATGTGATTTCAACCTTGGGTGTCCTATAGAAGACTCCCAAGTCTGGCCTTTGGCATACATACGTATTGCATCTCTTCCACTGGCACACCAAATGTTAGGGTCACATGAATTGATGGCTTCTTCCATCTTTCCCAACCATCTTATTTTCCATCTTAGAGTTTTGACACTTAAGTGTGTGAGAAATTGCTTCCCAAGTTTTTGATTTTTTGTTATAATTTTTATTACATTTCTTAAAAAGAGGTTTTATTTTCTACCTGTTCTTCCTGGTGTTTAGAAGTAAAATACATTTTCCTTCACCGACTTCACTTCTAATGACCTTGTTATGTTTTGTTACTGCAGTTCTTGTAAGAAAATGAGTTTGGGTATTTTATTAGATCTGTCTATCATATAAGAAACCTTTTCATCCTCGCATGACAGTCCCTGTGTGTTTTAGTTTGGCACAGAGCATTGCTCCTGGCTACAAGACAACACTGATCAGAACGTGTTTGGTGGAGATTGCTTCCTCCATCTCAGAGTGAAAGCTTCCAAAAGAGCACCCCTAGGGAGGACTTCTGCTGTAGGTTTTTGTAAAGATAAGAAGCATTCTGTTGGTGCCTCCTTGTCTCTCACATTCATTGCCCACATGAATTGAGTTTGTCAAACATATCTTTCTTCATATTCGTGGGGTGATTCATGTGCCTGCTACTTTCTTTTTGCTAATGTATTGAAGTATTGAGGCTGATTTTTAGATGGGACGCCAAGCTCACAACCCTGGAATAAACCCCCTGTGCTTTGTGATCCAGTGCCCTCATATGTCACTTTTTGTCTCTTTATTGTTGGATTATATGATATACACACATCCCTTTTACAGCTGTAATTAATACTGGGGCCAGTTGGTTTTCTATTCTTCAAAATTCCTTATGAATAGAAAGCTCCAGTTGTGTTTAGCTTCTTCTAATCTCTGGGAGCTTTTGATGGAGGTAGAGAATTGTCATTTACCCTCAAATCTGAGAGAATTTGTTATTGAGGCATCTGGGATACAGAATTTTTTCTTAAGGTTTTTATTAAATATTCACCTCCTGTTCTCATAAATATGTGTGTGTGTTTTCTATAATTTATTTTTCTGCAAGCTGTAATTTCTCTATAGCTTCTGTTTCTATAAATTGTAACCATTAGAGGTTAGTTTATTTAATTTGAATATTCTACTCTTTTCTATTTTTTGTATGTGTTCATAAATGTGTATCCTAAATGCATATGTGTAGGGGGATGGTCACATGCAAAGGACAGAGTTGAATATATGATGTCTTACTCTACGGCTCACCTCCTTATTGCCTTTAACAAGGTCTGCCTCTGAACTGGGAGCTTGCTATTTCAGCTGAGTTGGTTAGCTAGCAAACTCTGGGGATCTTCTTATCTTTACTCAATTCTGGGGTTACAGGGACATGCAGCCATGCCTGAATTTTTACATGGGTACAGTGAATTGAACTCATGTCCCTATGTGGTCCAGCACTTTTACTTACTGTGTGTTCTACTTTTTTACATATTAGTTAGATCTGCCCCAGTATCTTCCACTGTATTTGATAGTTGTTTTTCCTTCCTTGACAGAGATTTGTCTTTTATATTAATCTTTAGAAGGAACACTTGTTTGCCTTCATGAATCTCTGCATCCTGTGTCTCTTTCATTGCCTATGTTTCCTCATTATTTTTTTTTTGTGATCTTCATTTACTGTTATTTTTCTACCGCTTGGCAATTACATCACTTACTATCAGGCTTTCTTGTTAATGTAATGATAGAATCTTATACATTTTCCTGTAATCACAGCTTTAATTCCCTGACAGACATTTTGAATTGTAACAATAAACACTTGCATTTAGCTAATGCCATTTTCTGATTTTTAACTTAATTTCTTCATTGGCCAAGGAATGTGTTGCTTAATTTAGGTTACTGTGGAAATTTTTTGTACATCTTTTTGTTTCTAGACTATCATTTCATTCATTTATGTTCAGAAGATATTGGTCCAAAGCTTACTTCTGTAATTTTTTTATGGAAGCTTAGTAAGTAGATAGGGTGTGTTATACCACTGTATTCCTAAGTTCAAATTTCTACGGTCATATCTTGTATGTACTCTTTGAGTTTTGATAAATTTGTTCTAATAGTTACTTAGAGATCTGTCAAAGCAATCAACTTTGATTAGGTATTATTTCTTTTTGAATTTTGTTGCTTTGGGCTTTCTATATCCTTGATAATCTATTCTTTGTTTCAATACATTGACATTGTTTTTATTAATTATCTTATTAATAATTAAGAAGTAACCTGTTTATTACTTATGAAATTTTACTGTCTTGATGACTTACATGGCTATAGCTATGCCAGCTTTCCTTTGTTAGTTTCATGATCCATGTTTGCTTATTTTCTTTCAGCATACCTGGTATTGGTTGTGATCTCTCTCTTGCATCTAACATTTGATATGTTCTCATTGTAGCATGTACTCTCTTTAAATTTCATATGGTTGGTTTTGTAAGAGGTTTAGATTTAAATCTCTATTTTTCAAGTACCCTATTCATTCCTTATTATTAACGACTTGTTATTTTTAAGCAACTTTTCCGTATTAAACATGGCTGCTAACATGTCAAGTTCGCTTCAACACCTGAAATTGGCTATCTCAGAATTTGTTTTCTGCTGTTCCTATTGGCGCTTATTCACCACATCAAGTTTTAAGTACTTTGTAGTCACTAACTCATTGGATAATCTGAATATCACTATAAAGTCAACGAAGATTGTAAGTTTTGCATCTATAAAATGGAACTGAAGCAGAGTGAAGTTGGGTACATTACTTATGGTTTTACTTTTTGACAAAGAATATTAGAAGAGAAAACAGTTTTTAACTACACAGTACTAACACATAATATGAAGAGGTTCAGAGGTCATGTGTTCATCCCTTATTGTGGATGTCTGTGTAAGGTGGTCAGCTCATTTTGTTATTAAAAAGTATTCAAAATTATAGTTTGATATTCATTTTTCTTTAGTTTCATTTCACAATGTACCCATTTAAAAAATCAAACATGGCCAGTCTCCTGTTGTATTCTGTGCCTCTTCTCTAAACTCTGTCTCATTTAGCTACCGTTAACTGTTTGGAATGTATCCTGCAGGTGTTTATTGCAGTAGAGACATCTATTAGAGATAGTGCCTGCACATGGTTAAACCCAGTAATAGTTTCATTATCGGTGGAATCAAGATTATTTTATTGGTGGTGTGTGTATGTGGTATACAAACACATGTGCATAATGTGTTTGGGTGCATGTGCTCATATGGAAACATGCATTCATGGACAGGAATATGTCAGGTGTTCTGCTCTCTGATTCTTTACCTTATTTTTGATCTTATTTTATAGCTATGCCAGAAATACTCATGATATGATGACTCCGTGGCCGTTTTTCAGCATCAGATGAACTGACATTTATGTGGTTTGTCCACAGCATGTTTAACTGGACGGTCCCCTTCCTTTCGCTGCTGGCCTGTTTGATTCTGGCTATAGCCACTGTGGCTTTGTATTTCATCCCTCTGCGGTATATTGTTCTACTCTGGGGTAAGTCTGACACGATCACTTTCCTAGCAGGCAGTTCCAGGTAAGAACAAATGATTCATTTTTAAAGTACAACCATAAACTTTAATTGTGCTCTTGTTACCAATTAAACATGAGATTAAGGAAAACATTTGGGAAATGAAAACTTCCAGGACCTTTCGACAAAGACCAGTTACATAAGGGCTCAACATGGATTTTATAAGCCCTGTGCAGAATCATAATCAAATGAACCTGTGATCAGACTTCCTATTTCCCTTTAGGCTTTCCTGGCCATAAATTGCTTTGAATAATATATGGCTGTGGCCTAGTAACTTTCCAGAAACACTGTGGTTCAAATGGTGGGCAAACACCTGCATTTTGCCCTTTATAGACAGTAAAAATATGTCTGGCCACTGCCCCACTGTTTCTGATGCTTAATCTCAATGGCAGGAAAGGAAAAACCTAACCTCATAGTCAAATCCAGAAGCAGTGGGGTGCAGGATGGACATCTATGACTACCTAAGCAGTGGATGAAAAAGGAGGAAGCTATTGTTTTCAGGGGCCTTGGCTTGCCTGCATAAAGTTTAGCCGCTTCAAGAAAGTAACAAGAAAAATGGTCAAGTTGACACCTATTTCATGACTAGATTTTACATTTAAGCTGAAGAAAATTGGAAGCCTCTTTGTGAACGCCCATGTCTATGCTGGAATGACAAAGAGAATGTACTAGGCGCATACTCAAGTCATTGATGGAGAAGCCAGCAGTCTTTGTCTTAGGCGTGTTGCTGGATCCCCCATCTTCATCATGGGGTGGATCTTGTGAATCGTGTTATTCAGAGAAGTCTGGAAGATGACAGACTGCTAGGATGCATTCCCCTGTATGCAGCGGCAGAGAGCTGGGAAATGAAGATGAAAGCTACACCTTTTTCTAGAGCCCTCAAGATGGTGGCAGTGGAGAGAACCTGCTGATGAGAAAAGCCCAAGTGGACATTACGAAATGAGGGAAGTTATTGGAGAAAAGACATAACTCATAAGAACACAGAACAGCATGAGTGGGGGAGGGTAACTCGGCCATTCTGTATATTATTTAGGAGGTGAAATCTCCTTTTGAAAATGTTTGTCATTCTGTTATACCATACAATCTGACCACAGCTTCTCCTCCCTCCACTGCTACCAGCATCCCCACTCACTTTCTCTCTCTACAAGAAACACTCCCAGTCCCAGTCTCCTACCAGAAAAGAGAAGACCTCCCTGCAATATCAACTAAACTTGGCATAACAAGATACAATAAGACCAGACACAAACCCTCACATCAAGGCTAGGTAAGGCAACTCAGTATGAGAAAAAGGGTCCCAAAAGCAGGCAAAAGACTGTCAGGAGTCATCTCCCCACCCAAACACCAAGCTGATGACCATAGCATGTATGCAGAACCTATAGCAGACCAAATCATGCTCCATATTTCATGCTTCAGTTTCTGTGAGCTCCCATGAGCCCTGCTTAATTGATTCTGGGAGACGTGCTCTCCTTGTGTCCTAGGAAGGAGATGAAATCTTAAAGAAGGCTCTCTCCATTGTAGCCAGTCATAGAACATATTCTAGTTGCTTCTTCATGGATTTTTGACTTTAAAATATTGGGAATGAATAAGAATCAAGCATGAAGTTTGAAACACAGCTACATTGTATAGCAAAAATACTTTTATTCTTCCTTCATTTTTATAAGTATTTTTTTTTCAAATCTCATTCACCTCTAGCATTTAGGTGTTATCTTCTAACCAGATGTGATTGATAACTATAAGCCATTGGCTACTATCTCATTCACGTTGAGCTGCTTGCCATGTCAGCTGTTAAATAATATACACAGGTGATTATTCTTCTGAGCATCCTTCCTTCAGTAAAGAAGGCTGATACAGTAAGAGATTGTTTCTATGAATCCTGTGAACACCTGCATCTCTAGATATTTAAGTCCCATTATATATGGTCATTTCATTTGCCTCTAACCTGTGCATACTCTCCTCTGTACTTTAAAACATTAGTAATCCCCTGGATTACTAATATATAAAGCATATAAAACTATGCTAAATAATTGCCATGCTCTATTTTTAGGAACTGGCAAGAGGAAAGTCAGTCTAGGTTCTGCACACACATTTTATTTGCTAATATTTTTGATCCCTGGCTATCTAATACAGAGATGTGAAGTTCAGATATGGAGACTATACTACATGATTGGTTCCTCTTCTGGTTGTCAGTTTTGGCAAACTGGTGTGCCTTTCTGTTTCCCTGAATCACTCTGATTTCTGTTTTATCTTCCTGAATCTTAGCAACTTTCTAACATCTCTCTATATAAACTTAATAAAACATTTCTCTACTTGTTTTTCATTTTGTGACTGAAATTGTTAAACAGCATGAAGTTCATTCTGCTCTTATTGGCCTAAACAAACCTTCTCAGTCTTTCACTCTGGTTGCTTAGTTCTACACCGTAGACCACAGATGATAGCTTATTGATGAGCACTAATTGGTAATGGAGTCTAAACCTTAACCATCAACACATGGTTACTTGCTTCCTCTCCTCATGGAAAACAGATACTGCACTTGGAATATATTCGGTAATTCTATTATAACCTCTCCTTTCCCATAGTGAACTAGTCAGTTAGCATAATTTTAGAGAATAACCTTGCATATCCTTTAAATTATTATATCCCCTATAGAGTCACACCTTGTCACCTAGAAAAAGTCACATGTATATGCCTCAAACTTTTTTTGCTCCTTCTAACTGTGTTAAGGTTTAGATGGCTTATTCTGCAAGTTACCTGCTAATTTTTGTTGATTGCTAAATCAGATGAATTAGTCTCAAAAACTAACTGATGGATTCAGCCCTTTGGAAAAGTTAACCAAATTTCAAGCACTAGATCAGATATTCTATATGATACACACTTTTGTAGATACATGTCAAGCCCAGACATCATTTCACATAAACCTATGAAAGCAGCTTAACTTCAGAACTCTCATGGGAAATACTGCTGAACTCAAAAATTCACCATGAAGTTTTGACAGGTGACACACTATCTTTGTTCTTTGGCTCCGTAGTGTATAGTGTAGGGTATGAACAGTATGTAAGAAAGACTTGGAAATATGAGCAATTGTTTCTGAATACTCATAGTTGTGTTTCATAAAGGTGAACTACTGTGACACCCACCATTTCTTTACTTTGAGAATTCCCACAAAGTATCAGTTTTAAAGAAATTCTGAAAATTTCCTTAGGGAGCCTTTTCTACCAAACTTTGCTAACTCATATAACACACATATTTCTAGAAGTCTCTATGGGACTTTGCTGATCTGTGTGATCTTTATATTTCCCAAAGGCCACACAATTTCCACTATTCAGTCCAATATGTGCTTTTTTCCTTTTGAGATATTTCCCTTAATTCCTTTAATTCCTTTGATTCTGTTCTTTGTCATGGATGTTCTCATCATTATCTATTAGTACTGGTTTAGACACTTCCATTGTTTCCTGTTCTCATCATTATCTGTCAGTTTTGGTCTCAGACACTTTCCTTGTTACAAGGAGGATAGAAACTCCTCATGCCACATTTTGAGTTTTTCGTAAGAAGGAACCATGACCCATTTACCTTGTATTCCCAAACAAAGTACATGGTATCGTCACAAGAAAGGAACTCAGGGTTTGACAGAACAAGCCTGGCTTCTCTGTCTTACACTCAACCAAAATGATGTACTTGGAACTGTGCACAACCTACTCAAATGCTTGATGGACAATGGCATTCTATGCCATGTGATTGTTATTGTGTTACAGAAATGCAAAGCAGATACACAATTTCTCCAAGTGATTATTTTACCCCGCAATTGGAGGCCTCAGCAGTACCATTAACTGATCTGTATGTTGTGTGGTCGCCAATAATTTCGTTACCAAATGTTCTACACCAAAATTTCCATCTCATTTGACTCTTTCTTTTTGTTTTTGCTAGCAATATTAACAACAGATAACTACCTGTATCATTTCAGTTTTTAAAAAGTCTAAAATTAAGACTAGTATTCACTGGATCAAGACACAACTTCAATGTTTGGAGATGTGCTCTTAAAATAGTGTGTGTGATATGCATAATAGCACACAGACCTCTTTCATCACTATGTCCTCATGGCACTACCTAAGTGGCATCTACAGTGTCATCTCCAATTGCCCTCTATTGTTGAGTAATGGCAGATTATAAAATGCTTTCCTATATTACTCAACATGATTATATTATCAACCCTAGAAACTACAAAGGGAAATTTTTTATTAAAAAGATTGTATTTTCAGAAAACTTGGGCCCAGGAGGGTGAAGTGATGTACCTGAAATCACAGTTTATCTGTTATGAAGTTGGAATGGGAGTCCAGCTATGTCTGTACCTTTGTATTGCCCTATTACCTCATAAAGTTGACCAAGGAGTCTATGATGTCCTCTTCATACTTGATCTCACATAATAGATAATTTAGCAGAATATCTGAAACTGTCAAATCCAAGATGCCTTAGAAATAAGCTGTGTCTCTGAAGCATGCAAGCTGAATACCTTGTGATTTTTATTCCAAGTTTTTCAAACATAGTCAGTCTCACTGCATTGTGGACTACTTCGTCCTTTATGGGTGAGTCTGAGCCACTGTGCAGGTTTGTAATCTTCTCAGTGACTAAGAATGCAGTGTTTTGATCGGCTGTGATATTATCCCTGCCTTGCCGTTCGTTGTAAAGGCTCCAGATGCGCACACTATATATAATTAACAATAGAAGATACATCTTTTCTCAATACGTCTTTGTCTCCCTTCATCACTTTGCCTTGTCTGTTTTTCTTTTGCCAAAAAGCCCATGCTACAATTAAATGTCTTTAGAATAACACAGTGAGAGTATTTTAGTTTAAAGGAACGCTGGGGGGGAATTTTAGCTCCAAACACGAGGCTTGCTGTGGGGGTAGAGGGAAGAAAGGCAGAGTGCAGCTTTGACTTGAAGGAAAGGGGAGCATTACTGAGATCCTTCCCCAGCCAACCACCAAGCCACCATTTACTCATGAACAATGGCCTGCTCCCATTTGCAAAGCAGATGTAAATCTGACCCCCCAAAGAAAGGACTGGAGGTTGTCATTGTGTCAGGTACAATGCCATGCAGGAAGTCGAGTCCTTAGATGAAAGCAAAGTCATATTTAATGAACAAAGGGAAACATCAAACCTTTTATGTGATGGGGACTGTTGAACTTGGCTTCTGAGTAGAAGCCATTCAGAGCACAACTAAGCTGAACATTTCATTCAGCGTCATTGGGACAGGCGGGCCTTCAGATAGGGTCCTTGTTAAACAAGCACCCTGTGGCAAAACTTCAGAAGGCCACCTAGTCTTTCTGCTTCTAAAACTCAACATGAAAAAAGGGGGGGTTGACATTTGGTGAAAAGACTATAGCTTATGAGATCTGGATAAGGCAGAGGCACCCCAAGGAGCAGAGTAGAAGACAAAAGAAGGTTGGGAGGAATCTCTCTGCAGAGGAATCCATGTTCTGGGCATGCCCAGGAACTCTACATGCATAGTCAAAGATTGACAGATGCAATATGGTCTGTCACCTTGAACATCGAACCTCATTTTAATTGCTTTTGTCCCCATTCTAAGTGAGTGCGGACATTTACTTGCACAAACACGTGTGCCAGTGTTGTGGTCCATAAATGAAGTTAGCCACCACAGTCCGATAATTTTCCAATAATAACTTTTCACAGTTTCTGCCAGCAACATACAATCAACATGTCAAGTTCTGTTCTGCTGCGAGAGCAGAGGATCCTGTGAAAATGAGTAGAGGGAGCGTGATTACTACAGTTTCTTTCTGCCCACTGAAGCTCCCACCCTCTTCTCCCCACAGCTGTGTTTTATCCAGAATATACACGCAGGGACTTGTTTGGACTAGTAGAAGCCTTTTCCCATCTGGGACATTTGTTTCCATAGCAGAGGAGGCTCTTAGTCAGTGACTTCCAAAAGAGCCAATCAATCCCCCTGTTGTAACCCATGTTTCTGCAGTCCTACAACTGAGACTGTAATGGGAATTTCACAGCAGAAGGAGGCAGAGTCCGCTTTCCACAGCATGACCTCCTTCATTTCAGAAGAAGGTTCTTGTGAATGATGCCGCATGACAGCAACGTGTGCACGACTGGAAGTGCAGTAATTGTTTTCACACTAATTTTTAGTTGTGGCTATCTCTCTCTCTCCTTCCCCCACTCAGGCATGTTTCCAAAGACAGATGGTAGACAGGTAGCTAGACAATAGGTAGATGATACATGGATAGATGGATAGATAGATAGATAGATAGATAGATAGATAGATAGATAGATAGATAGATAGATAGATATGGGTAGATAGATGAATAGATATACATGAACAATAAAAATATTGTATTTTTGTTTTGCAGGCATAAATAAATTTACTAAGAAGCTTAGAAATCCTTATGCCATCGACAATAACGAGCTCCTCGACTTTCTCTCCAGGGTGCCCTCGGACATTCAGAAGGTAGGTGATGATTGGTCATCACCCACAGAGACACCAGCACTGATCTCTTGGCAGCACCAGAGATTTGGAAGGGCATATAGCTGTGTTTGTGTGAGCAACTGAGATAAGGAATCAGAAAATCCCTAAAGAGTTCTTTCTGGGAGGTGGTGGGGGAGAAGATACAGCCCTTGGTTCAAAGTATATAATGGCTGGGGGAAATTATCCTGCAAAAGAGCTACTTAGGAATGAAGCTGGAACTCATACTGAGCAGCTACAGGACTGCAGCGTTGGTACCCTTTTGATTGCTTGCCTCCCTGAAGAGAGTGAGACGAGATAGGAGGAGTTTTGCGAGATCCAGTGATGAGGGGCATTGCTTATTTTCTTCGTTCTCCAGATGGCAGGCATTTTAGGGGAAGGAGTAGACAAGAGGATTATTCTTTCTATTCCTTTCTTGGCCCAATTATCTCTTCAGCCTGCCCTCTATCCCCTCTCCACTGAGGACTTAGGAATGCCGAGGGCAAAGCCCCTACTTACTCTGATACACACAGCAGAAGAGGTGGTGGGAAATGAAATTTGCGATCAATCGCAAGTATTATTCACAGGCAATGCTCACTTAGTCCAGCAGCGTCTCAATTTTGTGGATGCACAGAGATTAACAAAGGCAACAATAGCGGGAAGTCCCAAAGAATGGCCCCATCCAGGTCCCTGCAGACTTGCCTGCACCAAAGCCAGAGGAAGGAAGGCAGGCAGTGATTTCTGCTAATGGAGAAGAGTGACCACTGAATAGGTAAAGGGGGATATCATGGCATGAACCATCATCAAGATGATCAAAGGCACAGCCTTTCATTGTCTGAGAGAACCCCAAATCAAGTATCGATTCTCATCGTTGGGCCAATGTAGTATAACTGGTTTCCAGGCTTCTTCAGGTGGATTATAGACACATGTGGTTAAAGGTCTCAAGGGTTCCTTTCCCCTGCATTCCACATTCTAGAGATTAAAATGGACCCTGTGGTGCTTAGGAACAACAACAAAACCCTTTTATGTCATGACATAAACCTGTTAAAATCAAATCTATAAAGATATATTTGCTCTCTTGTAATAACATGACATAATTGAAAAGTAATAACCTGGCCTTTGTTTATTCTGGATTTAAGATCAACAGTTATTCTGGGGGAGTTTCATAGAACACAAGATGCGAAGGATATACTTTCCTTTTTGTTTATCTGGTTTGGGCAAATTGTAGCCTAACGTAGGACTAAGTGTAACATCCTTGGGTAATTTGGCAGAAATGGTAAGATTAGGGAGCATGTGTGACCAGTAACACACACACAGCCTACCAGAGCTACACATGAAAATATTATGCTTACAGTGCACCATCACTTGGGTTACAGTGTGAGTTCATACAGCCTCCGTGAATAGAAATGTCCCATCAGTGCCATCTCTCAGAGGTCCTGGAAACAGCCCTTGCAGTGTCCACCCAGGTACACTTGGTGTATTCACAGAGAGATGCAAATGACAAGACATTTGAAAGGGGATGCTCCATGCATGGGTTTGAATCTCCCTCTCCCACTCAGGGTGCTTTTTAATGACAATGACAGTTTGCCTCTTGGGGACTCCCCTAGTGCTCATGCTTATCCCAGATGTTCTAGCCATTACCCTACAAGTGGAATTAATTTTAAATGGCATCTACAGAAGTTTGGGGCCTAGTATCGATTTCAGTGTTTTGTCCCCTCTTAGGTAAAATTAACGACTGCAAGAGACCAAATATCCCCCCCATCATTGTAGGTACTTTGAAATGAAACATACTCATTAAGCTGTTGTGTCATAACATAAGATCAACCGTCCTAAGAGGCGGTTATTAGGTTATTTATGGTTGAAAGCTGGTATAAGCAAGATCAAGATGGGGCAACAGTGGTGAGTTAAGTAGAAGCCCCTAGAAGCCCATGCATCTCGTTAGAAAAATCTGCTTTTAATACTTTGGTTTCAAGAAATGATGCATGACTTCTGAAACCCTTCCTGCAATTAATCCCCCCCACCGTCCTGTGTTTAGAAAATGATTCATTACCTTTGAACCTTCCTTCCTTTGCCTCCTGGTCCTTGGGGAACCATTAACACACTCTGTGGTGAGCTAGTGTTACCTAACTGCTAGCATCATGTCTGTGTGTTTTCACAGGTGCAGTATGCAGAACTGAAGCTCTGTGGCAGCCACAGCCCACTTCGGAAGAAGCGGAATACTGTCTAGAGCTCACTCTGACTGAGGACTGCAGCGCCCTATGTGTAGCTGTTAGGCCTCTGTCCTGGCTGCTCCAGCGGTACTGAGGTGTCCTGAAATGGGTGCTCTGTGAAGACCTCCCTCTCCTCATTCTCTATTCTCTTCACATACACAGATGCACACACACCTGCACACATGTCCCTGTTCATGGGTATCCCAGATGCCTAGACAGTCAACCCCAAAAGGGCATTAAGCCTGAGACCATGAGCTCTGATCCCTTTGTCAGAAGGATGTTGAAACCAGGTATCCATGTATCTGAGCACTGTTCCTGAGAAGAGCCAGGAGACCACTCGGTTCCAGGATCACGTTAAACTTATTTTAGTACCATCAGCAGATTTTTTTTCACTAAGATTCAGTAATTTCCATCTGGAGCTGGTGGCCCACATTTGTAATCCCAGCAATGAAGAAGCCAAGGCAGGACAGTCGCAGGCTCAATGCCATCCCAGGAGCTGTATTGTGCCAGCCCCTGTTCCATTACAAAGCTCTGTCCTAAACCACAGTCATCAGCAGAGGTGCAATTGTTTCCAGTCCCAATCGTGCCACTCCCTGTAGAGTATTTTGCCACCATCTATCCATCCAGATAGTGTATATTAGAAAACGGATATGTAGTGACTTCCAGAATTAACACAAATAGTTTGTCAGCCGTAATTACGCAAGACGCGTTTGTTTTCGGTGACCTCTTAGTATTGGATGCCAGCCTTATTGCATTTCAGCTGTTGTTGGCAAGGGGTATCCCTGAAGGTTCCAAGGAGTCATTCATTTGAAGAGTAGGGATTTCATGATAATATTTCATTGCTGTAAAATGTCATTTCTTCCAATTTCACTTTTTGCTTATTACCAAAAGGAGATGTCGATATACATCCTCAGAGAAATGGTGGGGTGGGGAGATGGAGAGAAGTTAGAAAATCCAGAAAGTATTTAGGAATGTGAAATTCTGAAGGGCCTTACTTAGAGACTCTTGGTGAAATATAATTGTTCCAGTTACCTGATGTTGTGAGCAGACAGTTAAAATGACTTTGGCTGTCTAAATTTATCTTTTTTTTTTCTGAGAGTCAAAATAAGATATAAACATTAAAAGCTTATTTCAAAACCTTGTTCATACAAGACAACCACCAAAATGCCCTCTGCTTATAGGATCTGAGTCTTGAGCTCCCAACGACCCCACAGCACACCCTGCCAATTTCAAAACAATTAATTTTGTGCATGTAGAAAGTGTGTACAGATATATTTGTGCTAAAATTATATTTAAGCTTTAAAATCTGTATTTCATCCACACATACCTGCAATATGCTGTTTGTATGTATATATATTGTAAAGGAAAATTAAGGTGAAAAGCCAGATTTCTTTGTTTCTGCATTGTCATTTAATAATCTTCTGACAAAATATTTTATGAAAAATGCCAAAGATTCTAAACTTTATCATCTCATGTCTGTGTTTCTTCACATTCTTCTTCCTGGTTTCTTTGTGGCATAGCCCGATTTTTGCATGATTTGATTTACTTCAAGTTAATGAAGCTGGTTGGAAAAAAGCATTGAAGAGATTCTAAAAGCCCCAGTAAATATGTTAGATGTACATACAATAGATACCCGAGAACTTCTTTGTCTATCCAGTTACTCAATCTTCTGTGTAAACAATACTGCATTGTCTTGTTCTTGTCATCTAGTTTATCACAGTGTGTCATTTAGTAACGACCCAAGGCAGACATCTTTAAGCTGATGTGTGAGATTGGATCAGTCATTGGAATGAAAACTTTTGGGAGCAAAATAACCCCTTATTTATTTAAATGTGGATCCCATCCTTCATGCTGTTCTTTTGCTTTAGAATTTCTAAATGAAATACTTCTCCTGGTAAGAAGGTATCATTAGGGAAACTTCTTCCCTCTGTAACCCAAATAGAACTTGCAGCATTACATTCAGGACACAAATGCCAGCTGGTATTTGAGAGCGAGACAGGGCCAACTTTTCCTACACTCTCTACTAAAGACAATTGCTATTTGATTAAACTGACAATGCATGTGAGAAAATGAGTGTTTGTCGGGAGTGAAAATGGTAAGATTTATATAATTATTATAGTTGTACAGGTCTAATCCTTACAGACTCTGTCTTAGCCTAAGATCTCAGAGAAAGACAAACACAATAATTTAATACTTTATTCCATCTTGAAGAAGCAACTGTCACATACTGTGGGCAGAGCTATTGTCCTTGTATGTGTGACACCAAAACTATTATGAATTTCCTTTCCTTTTTCTACTATTAATATACAAAAAGAAGATTTGTTCTAAACCAAGATCTTAGCAACTTCTTCAAGATTTTTTCCTCCTTCTTCCTGAGAAGTTTTACAATTTACACTTCTAGAAAGCAGCCCTTTGGCATGTCCAGATTTGCAAACATGACAATTTGTATGCTTTGAGACCAGTATTGAATAAAATGCATGCTACTAAAATGGAATCGATGCAGTACCATAGCATTAAATCCGATAGGTGATCACCACTCTAAAGACAGAAGAGCCAAATGAAAGCAAAATTCCCACACCTCAACAGGTCAGGCCTGAGTGTCTGGAGTCTGGCTCCCTAGTGACCTCAAATATCTTACATAGACATCTGTAGCCTAACCCCTAAACACTTACAGTACTTTACACAAAAGGCACATGTTGTGGGATTATTTATACACTATGTGAAAATGTATTGCTATGATTAGTGTGATAAAAAATATAATAGTTAGGCAGTGTGGGATCTCTGGGGACAGACAGGACTCTGGGAATAAAGCAGCAGAGTCACCAACCAGACATGGAGAGGAAGTGGAAGGCACAAGTTGGAAGAAAGGTAATACCATGTGGCAGAACATAGATTTAAAAATATGAGCTAATATAAGTTGTAAGATCTAGTTAGGAACAAGCTAAGCTATAGGCCAAGCCTTCATAATTAATGAGTCACCATGATATTATTTGGGAGCTGGCTGGTGGGAAAGAGAAAGACTGGATTCCTTCCCGGCCTTTAGAACATGAATATTGTTATAAAACTTACCTGTCCCCTCAGATATGGACCAACACAAGAGACCCATGATGGAAATACTAAGTAACATCTCTTTTACTTGCAATAGCATAGCTTCCATCTGCTTCTCTGAGTGGCATGATTGTCTCTCTCTAGAAACCCACTCAGTGCTTTCTTGGAGTGTATTTCAATAAATTGTATATTTGTGTCTTGGTAAATTATTTTATTAGTACATCACTGTCTTTCCTATGTTGATTTGCATGGTAACTACTATGTGAATAACAGGAAGGTAGCATATGCAGTATGGATACTCTGAACAAAGGTTGAATCACATCCAGGGAAAGACATACTATACGGTGCAAGATACAGCCACATTAGTGAGAGAGTGTGAAGTTCACTTAATGATTTTGTAGAAATTTGGAGATTACATAGTCACACTCTTGAACTTAAATATAATTGAGAATGTTAAAGTTGTGCGAAGTGTACATGGTTCATGTCTTAACCACGTACTCACATTTATAGCACTGCCTAAATATTTTAAATATTTGGACTGGGGCCAAAGGTCCTCTCAGATATATTTGATTTTATTTTTTGTGCTTTCTCTCATATTCAAACTTATAAAATCTAGTCAGTCAAAGGTCAATGTGGTATTGCTTCCATCCTGATGGCCAAGGCTATCCTGTGAGTCAACTATTCACAGTATCCAACTTATCAAAGAAATGGTGGCAATGCTGTCAGTCACATTGTTCCGGTTAGTTTTCATCCATATTATCCCTTTCACTTGTGATACCTTCCCCTAAATTTTCTGACTAAGAAGTTCTCCTGCTCTGATGATGTTACCTTCGTCTTGGTGCTACATGAGTTTCCACTTCCTACTACAGCATAAACTAGTGAGGGCGTCAGATGGTGAGTTGGAGAGTGTTAATGTATATTTTTTACAAAACCACCATTGCCATCGTGAGGTACCTTCATCATAATAACCTTCCAAATTCCCTGCCTTCAAACACCATTATCCAATAATTTGAAGATCAAGGCTTGAAGAAATGGATTCCAGGGGATTCACCAAAACATCAAAAAATCTTTGTTACATCTGCTGTAGGTCAGAATTCCTGAAGGCCTTGACCCTACTGTTCTCTACCAAACATGCCAGCATGTAAGCCACTCAGAAACATATGCGCCTAAGAGCACAATCACAGGCCATTTGTTTTTGTGTCTTTTCATATGTGGCTATTGGAAAAGGGGATTAATCAGGATTGATTGTTGTTCAGAACCTGAGCAATAATCACTTGCATGAATTAGAGAGCTAAGTTTGTATAATATATACATACATATGATTTCTAACTATGTCAAAGACAAACCATTCAATTATAAGATGCCTTATATTTGGAGAAATTCTTACTCTTACATGACAATAGAAAATGTGATATTTGTGAGCTGTAAAATGACTTTCTGACACTTCTCTTGTCTTCTCATAACTTAGTAGTTAACATATTGAACATGTAGTGATACACGTAAAGAAAATAGGCAGCATTCCCTTGGTGGAGCCAGGTAATCAATAGCTTCTTTCAAGCAGCTGATTGAAGTTTCCTAAACTTTCGTTCTAGTTTCAGTGGGTGGCTTAGCAATTAGGAATGGTTAGAGAATAGTTCTAGGTCATTGATGGTGTTCCTAATGTAAACTAATGGTGCCCTAGATTTCCATATCAGTTGTACAGTAAGAGCAAACATAAAAGCATAATTGGGAGATTGTAAAAAAAAATGACAAGAAATTGACATCAGCATCTACTTGATTGGGGGGAGAGAGCAGAGTCAACGATGGCTATTCAGTTAATGGAAATAAAATGTCAATAATGTATAGTCTTTCTCCAAGTCTAGGGAAGTGGTGTTGCCCTTTGCTGTGGAAGTAAGTGGAGAATCAGATACAGGAGAAATGTGTGTGGGAGCCACAGAGGGACTAGGGAGTCAGTGTTGAGTTTGAGGAGCCCGCAGAGCCCACAATGGGAATAATAAAGACGTAACACAATATGAAGTTCTCAAAGAGACACTCCATACCTAGGAGACACACACATTAGGACTTACTAAAAATGAGTGCAGGATTGCTGTTTCAGAAAATGAATCTTGGAGACCACATTCAGATGTGTAATCATGAGGTGGTTAAGAGTGTGATAGTGAATCTGGATTATTTGGTAAAATATCTACTGTGCCTGTGTGAGGACAAGAATTTGGATTGCCACATCCAATATTAGAGTAGATTATGGTGACTCATGTCTGTAAGCCCAATGCTTGGAGACTGAGATGTGTGGATCCTTGGAGTTTACAGGGTAGCCAGTCCCAGAAATTCGGTGAGGACCAGATTTATTGAGAGATCTTGTTTCCAAGAGTAAAGGTGAGTGGGGCTAGTGAAATAGTTCACGAAATGAAGATGTGTGTTGCCATTCCTGGTGACATGAATTCAATCCTAGGATACACATTATAGAAGGAGAACAACCATCTTCCATAAGCTGCTCTTAGACCTCCACATTTATAGTATGTCACACCTGAGCCTACCAACACACACAGTAAATGAATGAAATGTAGCCAAACTGTAGTAGGGGTCAACAATAGAAAAAGTTACCCAGTGTTGACTTGACTTGTGGCCTCTAAACACGTGCATGCTCATACATGTGCTCTCTCTCTCTCTCTCTCTCTCTCTCTCTCTCTCTCCCTTCACTCTGTGTGTGTGTGTGTGTGTGTGTGTGTGTGTGTGAGAGAGAGAGAGAGAGAGAGAGAGAGAGAGAGAGAGAGAGAGAGAGAGAGAGAGAGAGAGAGAGAGAAGCAATAAGTAGATTCAGGGATGATACTTGTGAGGAAAAATTAGCTCTATGTTCATCTATTAGCAGCAACAATAACAACAACAACAAATTCATAGGTGTGTGGCAGCATTAAGCATGCTAAGATATCTGACATGGTCTCTGTTACAGCTCGCCCATTTTTACCACATCCAAACGTGTATGGAAACAGTACAGCTGAAAACAATAACTCCTGAAAGTATGGTGAGCAGATTACTGATGATTCAACAGCAGCTGAAGTTCCAGAGCATAAAAACAGGCTCTTCTTTGCATGAAGCTTGCTGAACTTTCTTTACTTGGAAATGATTCATGTTCCAGGACAAAACATCTGTCTATATTTTGGAGAACATGTCAAATGCCAGTCAATGGTTTAATAAAAATAGATAATAAAACTGTCAGAATTCCTTCTAAAAATTAAGATGGAAAACACTAATTTTATACAAGGTTGCCTATATTATACACAACTAAAAGTATAAAATTTACCCACACATGTTATGAAGAAAGTATAATCCTCATTCCACAATACTCCTGTGAGCATAGATTTAAGGTGGAAAATACAGAAGTCATTGCATAGAAAACATGAGGGAAGATATATGATGGGATTCATGTTAGAAAATTGAGTATATGTAAGTGTCAGAGACTGAATGCACTTCTGATAAAAATGCAGAAATTGATTAACTGATTCTAAAACTATATGGAAATGCAGGATTTCAAGAATAGATAAATCAATATTATAAAAGTGAATGCTAACCAATAAGCCCCCTGCAACTAAGATAGCATGCCATGCTCATAAGAATTGAAAAATAGAAAAGTCAAAACCTGGATGCTGCTGATACTCACATACATGGTGAACACTTTGTCTTAGGCTATATCTTTTCAGTGCATAGAAAAAAATCTTTGTGTAAAATGGCACTGGGTTATCTTCGTATTAATATGGATAAAATATTGACCCACTTCCTTGACTCACAGACAAATATCAATTTATCATATATGAAAGTGGAAGGCAAAATAAAAGTTCCAAAAAGACACATAAGAAAATATCTTGATACTATGTAATATAAGCAAAAATGTCTTAAGCTATAAACAAAACATTAATTCAAAGGGAACACAACATTGCTTTGGAGAAGCATTAAACTTTTCTTCAAAAATATTTAAGAGTAAAAAGACTTATACATACAAGAGTAGGTATCTTTATCTATGTTCTATTGTTTGCATATTGTTATATGCCATATACTATTACCTATTTTATGCTTACATGTGTACTAATAAATGATTTGTATAGAGAATATGAAAAGTCAAATATCTCAGAAGTATAATGTGAACAGGTTTTTCCTGGGAAATGCCTACCCAAATGGCTAACAAGTATAAAAATTGGCTGACACCTTTAATTATCAGACAAATAAAATTTAAATAACCAAACATGACTATACAATAATAGCTACCTGGAAATTTACTTGATGCTACTTCTTTGGAAAGTTATTCCTCAATTTCTATTAAAGTTGATCATACATGCTCTGTGCCCATTCCCACAAGATCACATAACTAGGAAAGTATGTATCTTCAGTCAGTCACAGTGCCCTTACTTGCCTTTTTCATAAATGAGAAATCCTCTTTCCTTTATTATGTTTAGTAGTAGATTGTAACTATAAAATGGAATAGGCAGAAATTAACTGAACTGTTGTTACATGTAGCAAAATGAATCCACTTCTCAACTGAGAGCCCAGGAGACTCAAAGAGATACAAAGTATGGTTTTGGTTAAGTAAAGTTCAGATAGAGGCAAAACACAGAAGTAGGGCAAAGCAGAGTTGGGAGGCCAGGGCTGTAGTAACTGAGTCTGTGCCCAGGGCTCTTGAGTATTAATTGTTCTATGAGTTTTGTTTCTGATGTTATTGCATAAACTTATTTACTTTATAAAATTTGTTGATTTGTACACTTAGGACATAATAACTGCACTTCTAGTTTTAGTACAAGAAAAATTATAGGACAGTGTTATCCCTATTTCACAGTTAAGCCGGGGCCAATAATAAGTATTTAGAACATGAAAAGAGAGCCAGTTATAGCTCTTCAAGTGACCAATGAAAACACATACTTAAATACATTTTAACTTTCTTTGAGCATTGTCGGACTCAGTCTTGCATATGTAGTTCCACTACTAACACAATTTATTTTTCGTTTTAAGACATTCACTATCAGGATTATTAACATGACTTTCCCTAACTATATAACCACTACACACTGTAAAATTGCTTGATAGGGATAGAGTAGGGTTGGATGGGGGTGCGGGGATTCTGATGTAGCTCAATGACACAGTCTTTCCTATCAGTCCCATGACCCTGATTACATAACCAGCATTGGAACAAAAAATCCTGATTTTGGCTTGGGGATAGCAT